TGGGGTGCAGGAACGGCATCTTACCAGGATGGACAAGCTCAGCCTCTGAATAATTTCGCTGGGATGGCAAGGCCCGGAATTCCCAGGATTCCATACTTCTCTTCTGTCTCCTGGGTCCAAAACCACCTTGGATGGGATGGAGATCTAGACCTCATGCAGCTAGACAAGGCTATGGACAAGGAGCTAGACATGGAGACAGACACCAAACTGGAGTTACTCAGCTTATAACTTAAAGTTGTAGGAGTTGTTTTTCTGCCTTGAAACAGCTAAAAATAGTCATAATTACAGAAAATGATTCTTGACAGCACAATATTTCCCCAGAATTATCAGCTGTCAAGGGAAAAAAAAAACCCCAACAACTTTGCAGTCGACTTAATTAGGACCTAATGAGGCAAATCGTCCAGAGATGGTGTCATGAGTACACACAGGAGGGGAGCTTTTTGGAGGCCGGGTGCTGCCACCTGTCAAGGTGGTCTACATCGGGGTTCTGGCAGGCGCACACAGGATTAGACAGCAAATGTGAGAGAAACTCAGTCTCCTCTACATACCCGATTGAGGAATGTAGTCATCAAGTCCCCACACAGTGACTCAGCTCAGAAGACACAGAAAGAAATGATTTAATTCACAAAGAGATTTGGAAGTTTTCTTTGAGAATATAATAAGCCCACAGCAAAATTAGCTGAGATGTGGGCCAGGAGCCAAGCTGGCTCACTCTCACATCTTTCCCTTCACGTCAGTGTAGAGATTCTGGCTTGGAGGATGCTTAGCCTAACATTTTCCAAGAAAAGGAAGCCAGCAGCATTGGTGGGTAATGATTCTGCAGCACTGGGGCTCGAGAGCTTATGATAATCTTATCTGTAGGCTGGGAAGTGGATTTCTTTCTTTCTTTTTCATTAAATAATCATTTTATTAGGGGCTCATACAACTCATCATAATCTGTATACGTCATTTGTGTCCAGCACATTAGTACATATGTTGACTTCATCATTCTCACAACATCCGCTTTCCACTTGAGCCCTTGGTGTCAGCTCATTTTTCCCCTCCCTCCCCGCTCCCCCTGAACCCCTGATAATTTATAAATTATTATTATTTTATCATATCTTACCCCATCCAACGTCTCCCTCACCCACTTCTCCGCTGTCCGTCCCCCAGGGAGCAGGCCATATGCAGAACTTGTCATCTGTTCCCCCTTTCTCCCTCACCCTCCCTCCACCCTCCCGCCATCGCCACCCTCTGCACTGTCCTGGGGGGGTTCATCTGTCCTGGGTTCACAGTATTTCCAGTTCCTATCTGTGCCAGTGTACATCATCTGGTCCAGCCGGATATGCAAGGCAGAATTGGGATCATGGTAGTGGGGGGGAGGAAGCATTTAAGAACTAGAGGAAAATTGCACATTTCATCGTTACTACACTGCACTCTGATTTGCGGGAGTGGATTTCTTAAATGATGATGTTGAAACATGCTTGCAGGCTTAAGTACTTAATATGAATTACATGTCTCTCAAGGACGATGTAACTCAGAAGAGAAGTCCCGACATTAGCTCTAGCATCTGCCACAGATGTACTGAGCATCGGGTCTTCAAAGCCGTTTGAGACGTTTCAGTCCTGGCTGATGGAAACAAGTACACAGTGTAGGAGCCCCATCTCCTGCCATTTGGGTTGGACCAGAAAACAGGCCCTGATGCCCACTCAAAGAAGGCAGCCCATGGAGCAGCTTCAAATATGGTTAAGCTGTTCAAAGCCCTGTGTATCATAACGTCTTGAGTCAATCTTTATGCCTCCAGTGTTCCATAGATGTGCATATGACTGTGAGTTTATCCTCGGCTTTAAACCTTTCAGTTATTCTTTAGTGTATGGTTGAGACAGATCAGAATCAAAGAATGTTAAGTACCACCCAGTCGGATCACACTCATAGTAACCACTTCAACAGTGCGGAAAAATGTCCCCCCAAAGCAAATACACTGCCACTGAGTCATTGCTGACTCCTAGCGAGCCTGTAGGACAGAGCAGAACTGGCTCTGTGGGTCTCTGAGACTCTCACTCTTTACAGGAGTAGAAATTCTCATCTTCCTCCCTGGGACTGGCGGGTGGTGTGGAACTGCTGACCTCGAGGATCCCAGCCCAATGCATCACCACTAAAGGATGTGAGAGCTTTTTCAACAGACTTAGAACAGAACGGCTTCAAGTCATTTGAGGCATTAAAATAATTTTGGACACTAAAAGCCGTTAGTCTTCATTTAGAACTTGCTCTATCTTTTAATAAATTATTCTTATCAGTTAAATATTCTTTCTTTCTTTTAATTCTCTGTGATTTCTGCTTAGGACTCTAGTCATTCTTTAAGGAAAGAAAGAAAACAATGTGATCCAACTCTTTACAACATGAGAATGGTTGTATTATTGAACAGAATTCCTTATTTTCTTGATGTCTACTCTTGTTTATCAAAATACAAGAGTACGTTTAAAACTATTGTTACAAATGTAGAGAAACCTTTCTTAGAAAAAATATCAAATTATGCAGCTATTGTTTCCCCTTCCGGTTCTATATACTTCCAAAAGCTGTGTTTCCAACTTTCTACCCTTTCCCTGAAGGATTCTGCACTCTGCGGGAGAAAGGATAAGGTTTCCCGATGAAACTCTGCTAGGCCAGCCCATGCGACCCTCAAAGGACAAACAGGTGCCATTGTTGTGATGGGAACATTTCCCTCAGCACAACATGCCTGGTCTTCTTCTTGCCCATTCAGTTTTCAATTTTCTTAGAACTTTTCCATAATAAATCCCTGTGATCATCCTGTATCCTTTAAGAGAATTTATCAAGGTTAACCCTTTGGAAGCTCCCCAAACAACTGAGCTGCCCCCCTCCTTGAACTGAACTGGTTCAGCATATGCCCTTAGATGTGTTAATTGGACCTTTTACTTGAAGGCACCCAATAAGACCAAGATAAATATATCACCGAGAGAGCTCGTCAGTGGCTGTGTGCTCCATGCACAGACATGTTTAAACATGTTTTTAGTTGGAATAGATTCATGTTTAAACTGGAACCACTGTAGCAATACTTTTTTATTTGCCCTTGTATTTTTACAATTAATAGTAGCTTTACTTTTGTGGATTTTTTTTTCTCTTTCCTTTTTTAATAATTACTGAGTTGTAATATTCTGACAGTTACTTCTTCTGGACTACTTTTATTCCTCAGTCCTGGAAATGAACAAAAATGAAAATTAAGAACCACTGAGGCTAAGGGAAGATTTTCCAATGATTTCTAGAACATGTCCAGCCTTAGAGACTTAAGATAAACAATGAGACATTTCAGAACATCACTAGAGGGTAGACCTTTCACCTGATTTAAAGCAGAGGAAACAGGCTGGGATCATAAAGTCACTTGCTAAGGCATCAGAGCTACTAAATGGTGGAAGACAATGCAAACTCAAGTCCATCTGATTTCAAAGATTTCTCTTACCATCATCATATTATACTGCCAACACTGAGCTCTCTTTCATCTAAATCTTAATCGCCAGGTATATTTTTTCCTTCGTTCATGTTGCTGAATATAATTATTGACAATATGAGATACATTTCATGGGAACTAGCTTCAGGAAACCCAAACTTAATTAAGAAAGAATTTAACAGCCTGTGTGATCATGAGGTGTCGATGGAAACAGGTATGAGGCATCTAAGACCCAGAACAAAAATCATACCAATGTGAATGGGGGCGAGAGGGCTGCGAAGTGGAGACCCAAAGCCCATCTGTAGACAATTGGACATCCCAGTCAGGGTGCAGTATAGCACCGATGAAACATAGAACTTTGCTCTAGTTCTTTAATGTTTCCTCCCCTGCCACTATCATGACCTCAATTCTACCTTACAAATCTGACTAGACCAGAACATGCACACTGCTACAGATAAGAGCCTGCAACACAGGGAATCCAGGACAAATAACGAGAATAGAGATACCAGGAGGGTAGGGGGAAGGTGGGGGTAGAAAGGGGGAATCAATCACAAGGATCAACATATAACCCCCTTCCAGGGGAATGAACAACAGAAAAGTGGGTGAAGGGAGACAGCGGACGATGAAATATGAAAATAATAATCTATAATTTAACAAGGGTTCATGAGGGAGAGAGGGCAGGGGAGGGAGGGAAAAAACGAGGAGCTAATATCAAGGGCACAAGTAGAAAGAAAATGCTTTGAAAATGATGATGGCAAGATACGTACAAATGTACCTGACACCTAGACGGAAGGATGGACACTGGTACGGAGGAAGCTGGAAACACAGGGAGTCCAGGACAGATAAACCCCTCGGGACCAGTAATGAGAGTAGCAGTGCCAGGAGGATAAGGAGAAGGTGGGGTAAAAAGGGGGAACTGATCACAATGACCTACATATAACCCCCTGCCTGGGGGTCAGCCAACAGAAAAGTGGATGAAGGGAGATGTCGGAGAGTATTAGACATGACAAAATAATAATAACTTCTAGATTGTCAAGGGTTTGTGGGGGAGGGGGAGGAGGGGAGGGAAGAGAAAAGATGAGCTGATGCCATGGGCTCAAATCGAAAGAGGGTGTTTTGAGAATGATGATGACAATAGGTGTACAACATTGTGCTTGGCACAATGGATGGATGGATGGATTGTGATGGGAGTTGTAGGAACCCCCAATAAAATGATTTTTTAAAATGTGCTTGACACAATGGATGAGTGCATGGATTGTGATAAGGGCTGTAAGAGCCCACAGTAAAAGTATTTTAAAAAGAGAAATAATTTGAATATTTCTAGGCTCTTTAGCTGGTGTACGAATACCTTTTGTTGCAAAGAGTTTTGATATAATGGCTTTTTGGTTGGTTTGTTGGGGTGGAGGCTGGGTGATTTTGGTAACTAGGTAAAACACATCTATATTTCAGGGCTTGAAATGCGTGCTAGGTAGATTGCTATAAGTAAGATGGTCCTAGATGGCATGAACATTCAAGGACAAGAAAAGAAACTAACCTTTGCCACTGGGGTTTCTTGCAGACATTCTGCAAAGGCTCACTGATCTTGGAACACCTGGATGTCTCTTTCTGTCCCCAGCTGTCAGATGAGACTATCAAAGCAGTAGCCATTTACTGTGTGAGCATCACGTCTCTCAGCATTGCTGGATGTCCAAAGGTACGTGAGGGAGTCAGGGCTCCAACAGCCAAACAGAGCACTGCCAGTCGACCCAGGCATGGCAGAAGTTAGAGGCTACACTTCACATAGATTTTTTTCCCTTTGCCATGTCGAAGGCATGCCTATTTTTCACCTCTTTTCTCCAAATTGGGAATAACTTTATGATTTCGTGTGTATCAATGAAATCAACTTTCAAATAGTTTACAGCCTAACTCTCCTGCAAATATAAACTAAGCATGTGCCAAATAGTTCTTTAATTAAATAACAAGACAACCAGCAAAATGGTCAAACCAGTTGATAGAACATTAGAAGGAATGGAAGATTATAGACATTGAAGTAAGAGTGTTAGAATATGATTCTGAGGTTAGATCCCAAATTGGTGGATGCCCTACAAGGCAATAAAGCCATAACTAGAGTTATTTTTTTCCTACTAGACAGAAATAATTTGCATATCTAAAACAAGTGAACATGTAATTTGATTGAATCTGGGTCAAAGGGTAGACAGTATATCAAAGAAAAGTCCCCTGTAATTCCCTATAGAATCCCTTAAGTGGCCCTAGTTAAATAAAATCCCAATGCCATTGAAAAGATAATCACACTTTTTTCATTTTCATGATATCTACTTATAAAAGAAACACATATTCATTGTAAAAAATTTAGACAGAAAAGTATAAAAACAAAACAAACAAAACACCTCACTGCCATCAAATTGATTTGTGACAGCGATCACAGGTCAGCAGTTCAATACCAGCAGCCACTCCTGGAAAGATGAGGCTTTCTACTCTCAGAAAAAGTTAGTCTTGGAAACCCACAGGGACAGATCTACTCTGCCCTGGAGGGTAATTGTGAGATGACAGGTATACATATTAAACATTATGAGCATGCCCAGTTTCAAAAAGCTGTATCTTCCTATTACCATAAAAGTTATGCTGTTTCATTATCATGCTGGTGTAGTGGGTTATGTGTTGGGCTATAAACCAAAAGGTCAGCAGTTTGAATCTTCCAGATGCTTTGCAGGAGAAAGGTGAGACTATCTCCTCCTATAAAGATTTCCAGCCCCAGAAACGCTAGGGAGCAGTCCTACTCTATTCTAAAGGGGCTCTAATAGTCAGAATCAACTACCAGTTTTGTTGATTTGGTTTTTGGTAATGTAGCCTTTTCCCTACTAACTGCTGCTTAAGTTATAAAAGTTAATACAAAGTTAAAACCAAGCTTAGAGCCATCGAGTCAATTCAGACCCTATGTAGGCCAATACCTAATCAACAGAGCTGCCAAGACTGTTATAAAAGTTGATAACTGAAAACAGGAATGATACTTTTCTATTAGAAACCACAAAGAACATGTTTATTAGTAATTTTGAATGACTGGGGGCTCTTACAGCTGTTATATCAATACATCAATTGTATCAAGCACATATGTTGTACATATGTTGCCATTATCATCTCCAAAATATTTTCTTTCTATTTGAGCCCTTGGTATCAGCTCCTCTTTTTTCCCCTCCCTCCCACCCTCATGAACCCTTGATAAATTATAAATTATTTTTATTTTCATGTTTTACACCATCCACTGTCTCCCTTCACTCCACGTTTCTGTTGTTCTCCCCCTGCTGGGGGTGCAGGGAGGGGTTGCATGTCGATCATTGCCATGGTTTCACTCTTTCTCCCCATTTTCCCCCTATCTTCTCCCTACCCTCATGGTATAGCTACTCTCATTATTGGTACGGAGGGGTTTATCTGTCCTGGATTCTGTGTGTCAAGGGCTCTTATCTGTAGTGTACATACTCTGGTCTAACCAGATTTGTAAGAACTAGGGTCATGATAATGGGAGAGGGGATGAGAGGAAGCATCAAAGAACTAGAGATGTTGTGTGTTTCATCGGTGCTAAACTGCACCCTGGCTGGCTTGTCCCTTCCTTGGGACCCTTCTCACAACAATCTTTTTTTAAATCATTTTATTAGGAGCTAATACAACTCATCACAATCCATACATATATCAATTATGTAAAACACCTTTGTGCATTCATTACCCTCATCATTCTCAAAACATTTGCTCTCTACCTAAGCCCCTGGCATCAGCTCCTCATTTCTTCCCCTCCCTCCCCGCTCAATCCCCCCTCATGAACCCTTGATAATTTATAAATTATTATTTTGTCATATCTTGCACTGTCTGATGTCTCCCTTCACCCACTTTTCTGTTGTCCGTCCCCCAGAGAGGAGGTGACATGTAGATCCTTATAATCAGTTCCCCCTTTCCAACCCACCCTCCCTCCACCCTCCCAGTATCACCACTCATACCACTGATCCTGAAGGGATCATCGACCCTGGATTCCCTGTATTTCCAGTTCCTATCTGTAACAGTGTACATCCTCTGGTCTAGTCAGATTTGTAAGGTAGACTTGAGATCATGATAGTGGGGGGGCAGGGGGTGAGGAAGCATTTAGGAACTAGAGGAAAGTTGTGTGTTTCATCGTTGCTACATCACACCTTGACTGATCATCTCCTCCCCGAGACCCTTCTGTAAGGTGATGTCCAGTGGCTTACAAATGGGCTTTGGGCCTTCACTCTGCACTCCCCCCCTCATTCACAATATGATTTTTTGTGCTGATGCTGCCTGATACCTGATCCCTTAGATACCTCATGATTGCACAGGCTGGTGTGCTTCTTCCATGTGGGCTTTGTTGCTTCTGAGCTAGATGGCCACTTGTTTACCTTCAAGCTTTTAAGACCCCAGATGCTATATCTTTTGATAGCCGGGCACCATCAGCTTTCTTCACCACATTTGCTTATTCACCTGCTTTGTTTTCAGCGCTTGCATCGGGAAGGTGAGCATCATAGAATGCCAATTGAAGAAAGTATTCTTGCATTGAGGGTGTACTTGAGTGGAGGCCCAATGTCCTTCTGCTACCTTAATACTAAACCTATAAATATATGCACAATATCTATTTCCCCATCCTCATTTATACATATATTCACATATGTACATGCCTTTATGTAGACCGCTATAAATGCCCTTTGCCTCCTAACTCTTTCCTCTATATCCTTTTACTGTCCTCTTGTCCCACTACCATGCTCAGTCTTCATTTGGGTTTCAGTAATTCCTTTTGGTTACATTACCCTTGATCACGCTCTACCAGGCCTCCTACACCCTCTTCACCACCGATTTGGATCACGTGTTGTTCCCTTGTCCCTGAGTTTGTTAACACCACTACCTTTCCCCCCACCTCCCCCTCTCCCATGTCCTCCAGAACTATCGATCCCATTGTTTTCTCCTCCATATTGTTCATCCAGCCTATCTTATTTAGACAGAGATAATAACATGCACAAAAACAAGACAGAGCAAAACCAAACACCAATATACAACAAAACAACAACAAAGCAATGACAAAAACCAAAACAAAACACAAGAAAGAAAAGCTTTAGTTGGTTCAAGGATTGTTTGTTGGCCTTTAGGAGTGTTTTCCAGTCCAGTCTGTTGGGGCACCAAACCCTGGTCCCAAAGTCCACCTTCGGCATTCCCTGGGGACCTCGCTGCTACGATCCCTTGCTGTTCTGTTGCACCCCCTTAGTGTTTTGCCTTGGTGTGGTGGGATCAGATCGTGCACAATTCCCACACTGTGTCTCCAGTGTTGTCCACTGTAGGGCTATGGATCAGTGAGGGATGTCGTGTCTCATAGTGGGGCTGGCCTTGTGGTCCTCTCTGTGGACTAGCTGCTGTAATCGGGAACATCGTCCTCAGGGCTTGGTGGGCCAGGATGTGCTCCACTCTCTCCTCCTCTCCCTTCATCTGCTCCTGTGCGCTCCGATCAGATATGTCCCTCTCCTGGAGCTGTATATTCAGTGCTGTCCTTTGAAATAAATTCTTCTGGGGGTAGGGGCAGGTGTCCACATAGTAGTTGGGATTGGGGTCGGCCCCCAGACCTCCCCACTGGTTCCCTACTCCACGCCGGCATGTTGCATTCACATCTTGGAGCACTGGGTTGAAGTCTGATCCCTCTTTCCCTGTGGAGATATAAACAATACCCTCCCCTTGGGTGGGT